GTGGGCTGCATAGCCTACTCGAGATTCCACTCGAGAATTACAACTTCATAGTTGTATCGGTCGACTTCGTAGTCGTAGGCTTCATAGCCTACTCGAGATTCCACTCGAGAATTTCAACTTCGTAGTTGTATCGGTCGACTTCGTAGTCATGGGCTGCATAGCCTACTCGAGATTCCACTCGAGAATTACAACTTCATAGTTGTATCGGTGGACTTTGTAGTCGTGGGCTTCATAGCCTACTCGAGATTCCACTCGAGAATTACAACTTCGTAGTTGTGTCGGTCGACTTCGTAGTCGTGGGCTGCATAGCCTACTCGAGAATTACAACTTAGTAGTTGTATCGGTCGGCTTCGTAGTCGTGGGCTTCACAGTCTACTTGAGATTCCACTCGAGAATTATAACTTTGTAGTTGTATCGGTCGAATTCGTAGTCGTGGGCCGCATAGCCTACTTGAGATTCCACTCGAGAATTACAACTTCGTAGTTGGTAGAGTTAGTCGGCTATATAGCCGTTTTGAAAATTTGATTTTTTCAGCAATCATAAAGAGATCGATATGTAAGCGTAAAGAAGCATAATAGGAGCGTAAACTTGAAATTCATTTCATTACTGAATTTGATTTGAACGTTGTTTAGTACAAAAGATAGTTCAAAACGTTATCTTAAACGTAAAAGCGTTTGAGATGGATCACATGCCAGAATCGCGGCAGCTGTCGACCTTCTCCATCTTCGAGTTCGTATGCCCCTCTCTCGAGAACTTTTGTGACCGTGAAAGGTCCTTCCCAATTAACTTCGAGCTTTACAACGTGTTTGAGAGCGTCTGCCCGTTTGAGGATGAGGTCTCCAACTTGGAAGTCCGGTTCGAACTTTCTTGTCGAAGGTTGTGCGCATCTTTTGTTTATACTCGACGGACCGTACCCAAGCTTCCTCTCGCCCTTCTTCGATTAAGTCAAGGGCTTTGTCCACCATTTCCTTGTTTTTCTTTTCTTCGTAGAATGTCGACCTGTGAGAATGTAAGCCAACTTCAATGGGCAGGAGTGCGTCCATTCCATAAACCATGTGGAACGGGGATTGACCCGTTGAACTTCTCGGAGTCGTCCGATAAGCCCAAAGGACTGTTGTCAGCTCGTCGACCCAAGCTCCCGATGCCTTTTAAAATATCTTCTTTAATCCGTGGAGGATGGTTCAGTTTGTCACTTCGACTTGGCCATTCGCTTGGGGATGCGCAACTGAGGCAAATTGTTGCTTAATACCCATGTCGAGACACCACGCTTGGATCCGCCTTCCTTGAAATTGAGTTCCATTATCTGAGATTAATATTTTCGGGACTCCGAATCGATAGCAAATGTTGTTGAATAAGAATTGTATCATTTTCTCTTCGGTGATTTGAGCCAAGGGTTCTGCCTCGACCCACTTGCTAAAGTAGTCGACTGCGACCACCAAGAATTTTCTCTAAACCGTCCCCATCGGCAATAAGCCTACCAGGTCGATTCCCCATTGCGCGAAGGGGATCGGAGAGTTGATAGTCGTCATGCATTCAGCTGGAATATGGGTGATTTGATCGTGCCGCTGACACTTATCGCATTCTCGCACAAATTTTTCCGCCATCATTCGCAGTTTAGGCCAATAGTATCCTGCTCGCAAGGCTTTTCCAGCTAGGGCTCGAGATCCCACTTGTGCTCCGCAACATCCTTCGTGTATTTCCTTTAAAACATGGATTCCCTCGATCTCAGATACACATCGCAGGTGGGGACCGACCATCGACTTCATATCTAAGACCCCATCGACTTCGAAGTACTTGCTTAGATATCGGGTAGCTTTCTCCGCTTCTTGCTTATCTCCTGCAGGTATACGCCCCTGCAAGAGCTCGCGGATCAACTTCCTCCAGTCATCCTTCTCATCGACTTTCATTGCTTCGCCAAGAACACTCCCTTCCAAGTGTATCGTGGTGATGTTGCCTCCCATTTTTCCCTCATTGGAACTTGTGATCCTTGCGAGCCAATTGGCTCGCTTGTTCTCTTCTCGTGGAACTTATGTTAACTCAAATTTTTCCAGGCCTTGTATAAGGCTTTGAATTTCCTCGACATATTTCAACATTCTATCCTCCTTTATCTCGCCATTTCCCAACACCTAACCCACGACAAGTTGTGAGTCAGAGTGCGCTGCGATTTCTGTTGCTCCACCACCGATTGCGAGTTGAATCCCTTTGATTAGTGCCTCATACTCCGCTTCGTTGTTTGAGGCCATGAACCCCATTCTGATGGCGAAGTCGAGTTGCTCGCCCTCGGGGGACACGAGGAAAACTCCCAAGCCAGACCCTTTGTCCCCTGAGGATCCATCGACATGCATTATCCATTTCTTCTCTTCCCCCTTGGTGCCTTCTTGGATGAAATCCGATAAAGCTTAAGCCTTTATGGCTCGTCTGGGTTCATATCAGATAGAGTATTCGCTCAGCTCGACCGCCCACTTTACGAGTCGACCCGAGACAGTAGGTCGACCCAAGATTTCTCCGAGCTGAAAGTTTATCCTCACCACTATCACATGATTCAGGAAATATGGCCTCAACTTTCTATTTGTTATTACCAACGTCAAAGCGGCTTTCTCGACTTCAGAGTATCTCATCTCCGCACCCTGAAGTACTCGACTCGTGTAATAGATCGGCTTCTGGGCCCCTCCTCCTTCTCGCAGCAATACCAAACTTAAGGAAAATACTCCAACTGAGATGTATAGCACTAACTCGTCACCGGGTTCTGGTTTTGTTAAGAGCGGCAGCTCGCTTAGAAATTTTTTCAGCTTTTTGAACTCTATTTTAGCCTCGTCACTTCACTGAAAAGTTTTCTTTTCTAGCAACTTGAAGAATGGGAAACTTTTCTCTGCAGCTCGAGCGATGAATCTTCTTAGACTATAAATTCGACCCGTCAAGACCTGCACTTCCCTAATGATTCTTGATTGATGCCATGTCGAGTATGGCCCTCACTTTTTCCATGTTCACCTTGATTTCCCTGCTTCGTGACCACGTAACCCATAAATCGTCCCGCCTTTACTCCAAAGGTGCACTTGTTTTGGTTCAACATCATCCCAAACGCTCTAAGGGTTTTGAATGTTTCCCTTAAATTGTCTGGGTGTGAAGTCGAGGATTTACCCTTCACTAAGATTTCATTGACGTACACTTCCATATTTCACCCAATTTGTAGTTTAAACATGCGATCCATTAATCGTTGGCAGGTGGATCTCGCATTCTTGAGCCCAAAGGGCATGACGACATAACAATATGTCCCTTTTCTTGCCACGAAGCTAACTTTGCTTTGATCATCGGGGGCTAGGGGAATTTGATGATATCCCTGGGATGCATCCATCATACTCAACAGCTTGCAACCAACCATGGAGTGGACTAGCTAATCAATTCTCGGCAAAGGATAATGATCTTTTGGGCATGCCAGGTTCAAGTCACGAAAGTCGATGCACGTGCGCCATTTGTTCAATGCTTTCCTCACCATCACAGTGTTGGATATCCACTCGGGGAATTGGATCTCTTTGATATGTTTGGCTTTCAGCAACTTGTCCACCTCGACTCAATTGCTTTATCGATCTCGGCTCCATGATTCCTAAGTCGCTGTTTGACGGGTTTTTTGAGGGGGCCGACATTGAGTTTGTGTTCCATGACCTCCAGGTCGATTCCCATTAACTCTTCAGGAGAAAGCGAATATGTCTCTAAATTCCTTCAACAACTCCACCAACTATTTTCTCAACTCACCCTCCAACTCTCTCCCGAACTTGGTGGTTTGGTCCTCCTTCTCCCTGATTTAGATTTCCATCAGTTCTCTATGTGGCTCGAGGTCACTCCCCCTCGGCCTCTTTTCACTTGACATTGGCTTTTTTCCATCTTTGATTTCAGCTCACTGGTTAGTTTTTATCACGATCTGATAGCATGTTCTCGACAACTTCTGGTCCCCTTGAGCCTCTCCCACTCGATTTCTGACGGGGAACTTCAACTTCATATGGTAAGTTGACACTACTGCTTGAAAGGCACTGAGCGCTGGCCTTCCGAGGATCAAGTTATAAGCCAAATCGACGTCAACCACCACAAATCGTACCATTTTCACCTTCCTCAAGTCGCCCTCCCCCAGGATGACAGCGAGCATGGTTTCTCCCAGGGGTGCGACCTCTGATCCATTGAATCTGAAGAGCGATGTATGTAGTGATGTGAGCTCGATGTCGAGCTCCATCCTTTTGAGGTATTCCTAAAAAATCACGTTTACTGAGCTTCCTGTGTCGACAAACACTCTTTTCACTTCATACCCCGACACTTGGGCCGTTATCATTAAGGCATCGTTGTGCGGCCTTTCGACCTCCCCCACATCAACGGGCCCAAAATTCATCACTAGGCCATTCTCTTCGACTTGTTGCACCTCGACCTTCGTATATCGCCCTCAAGCATATGCCTTTCTTGCCCGATTGGAGTCTCCATCTGTCGACCTCCAAAGATCATATGAATTACTCCCCTCTTCAGGGGGAGCTCTTCCTTCTCAGGTGATCTCACCCTCTTGCAAGGACTTTTACTCCTTTCTCTCCCTCGACTTGACCTCTCACGATCCTTATATATGAATTCTTTCAAATGGCCAGCTTTTATCAACCTCTCGATCTCGTCTTTAAGATCTCTGCAATCGTCAGTGTTATGCCCATAATCTTTGTGGAATCGACAATACATGTTGCTTTTGGGTTTCGTTGGCCCGTCCTTCCTCGTCTTGGGTCATGTCACAACGTTATCGTGAATCTCCCTCTCCATGACTTCCAGAATCCTGGCTTGGGGAGCCGCCAGAGGAGTGTAATGAATCAGCCTCCAACTCCTAGATCGACCTTCTCTCTCTGCTCGTGGGGACTCCTTTCTCTCCCCAGTCGAGGAACTCTTCTTTTCTTTTCTTTCATCCCGAGAGTCGGTTTTAGCTGCCTTGGCCGCCTGCAAGAAGTCAGCTTCTGCTTTTTTAATATTCATATACTTCGCACATCTCCCCAGTACTTCATCGAACATTCTACTCGGGCACTTTGCCAAAGAATTCCTGCACAAACCTGGCAGCAACCCTCGAGTCAACCCTCCTGCTTTTATTTCCTCCAACGCCCTAGGCACATCGACGCAGGTACGCGTATATCTCACCACATAATCTCGCAATGATTCGCCTTCTTTCTGTTGTAGGCCCATCAAGGTTAGATTCGACTTCTCTTGAGGTTTAACACTTGAGAATTGGTTGAGGAAACTCGAGTTGAATCCATCAAAGTCCTTGATGGCTCCCGATGGTAGCTGATGGAACCAATCCTGGGCAGATCCTCGCAAGGTTGTCAAGAAAGCTTGACATTGCACTGGGTCATTATAACGATGCAGTACTGCCATATTCTCGAAACTCCTCAAGAGTCTAGATGGATCGTTCGACCCATCGTAACTTATGTTTAGATCACAGAAACCCGGTGGTAGGTCGGCATCCAGAATGTGCTGCGAGAACGGATGTCCCTTCGAACCCCCAGTTTTCCTCCCCTCGACTCGGGCCTGTAAATCACGAACTTGGGCTAGCAACTGCTCCAGTGTATCGTCTCTCGCTCGCGGGTTAACAGTCCTGATGGAGGATGCTTCCTCTTCTGCCCTCCTGTTAAGCCTCTCATTGGATTGGGCCTGTTGTTCGCGCTCGAAATTTGGTTGCTCGATCCTCAGTGGCTCGACCCTAGGTTGCTCGACCCTAGGTTGCTCGGTCTGAGTCTGCTTCAGTTGAGCTGTTATTGCTTCCGCTATCATCTTTTGCATTTCACTTCTCGTCATTGTCATTGTTTGCTCCTCGACACGAGGTTGTGCAAGTGTCTGCTCCGGCACCTCTTGGATTTGTTTTCCCTCACGTCGAGATATCTCCGTTTGTTCGCTTCCTCCATTTGGATAGGGGTTTTGACTTGCTCCTGCTGGGGTCAGCACCTGCATCTTCACTCCAGGTGGAGTAATGGGTGTTTCTCCACCCAAACTCACTCCCGGAGGTGGAAGTCCTCCAAATGGTGGTAGTCCCAGCACCTGCATCACCGGAGGTCTAGGGGTGGAGAGAGGTGGTGGTCTTCTATCCGTCCAAGCCCCCCAAAACTCCTCGTTCATGTTCATCTGCAAACCTTTCTTCTCAGCCATTAGAGACGGATCGGAGCTAGGTGCAAAGCTCTTAATTCCTTCAAGAACTTCCCACAGACGGCGCCAAAATGATGGGTCTACTCTCAGATCTAGAGTGAACCGGTGGAAACGAGCCCAAATCTGCCTAAATTGCCTTCGAACTGTTGTTGGACCACGAGAATACCTACAAAAACTCAACACCGGAAGTGTTTCCGGCGTAGAGCCTCCGACGCTCAAGTCAGTGTATTAAGAGGATGAAGAAAGGCTGCTCTGAGAGCGCAGCTATAGAGGGGAGTATGGAATGAATGGAAGAAGTTGGGGTTTAGGGCTACCTTTTCTCCTTTATATAGGATGGAAAACGTACCTAAGATACCCGAAATGCCCCAAGTCGGTGGACCTAAAAGGTCCAAATTTCCCTAGTCGATTCATCTCCCCTCCTTGTTAAGTCATACCAAGATTTCTTCTTATCCATGAGAGGACAAGAGGTTCCAAGGAATGCATCAAGTGTGTGGAGTCGTCAATATGCCTTACGGCTCGAGATATGAGGAGTCGACCTCGAATACGGACAATTCATCCTAGGATCTGGTTCAGCGGCTATACTTTCACTACTTAGGAAGATGTCGACCTTGTACCAGTCGACTTCTAGACATCGACTTGTGCAAAGTTGAGTTCAAGACGTCGACTGGTATAAGATCTCACTATCACATGATGAAGATTCGACTATGAACAAGTCAACTTGGGGATGTCGATGGGCATATGTCGAGATGCAGGTGGTTTCACCTGTTCTCCAGTCGAGTAGAGCCTTTGGGCAGATATGTCTTTATATTGCTATATCAAAGAACAATCATTCCTTATCCCTAGCAATAAGAATTAGCTAAGTCATATCAATTTAACAAAATCCATCATCTCTCTCAATTCAACCATTGTTCATGAATTAAAATAAAGAGAATACTTACAATAAATCGCAATCCCAAGTGCTGAATTTGAAATACAAGCTTAATCCTTAAAAACTAAAAAGAAGAAGAAGGGAAGGAGAAACAAAGAAAAGAAGAAGAAAAATGGAGAAAAGAAGAAGAATATAAAGGAAAATGAAGGGGGGAGGCGATTTTCAGACCTAGGGTTCTTCCTCCTTCGAGCTGGTGGTCAAAACTTCCAAAAAAAAAACGAGTTTTGGGGGCTTTTATACTATTCTCGGAGTTGTGGTGGTCTTAGCGCCACTAAGGGGGGTTAGCAGCGCTAAGGGATGAAAGCCCGAGCTATTGGTTGTCGTTAACATGGTGTAACGCCGCTAGAAAAGCCAGGCTTAGCGCCGCTATGGCCTAGGCAGCGCGACTTTGCGTTTCGGGCTCATTTGGGCTCGTCCGAACTCGGAATTGAGTTCCGTTTTTTTCTACGCGTCGCTAATGAACGTCTCTATTCAATCATGCTTGCATGACCAAACTATTCTTGAATTCCAATTCTCCCAAAGCTTATGACCAGCACACAAAAGACGTGCTTCGTGCGACTTTGCGTTTTTTGCCCGTTCAGATTCGTCCAAGCTCGAAATTGTACTCCGCTTCTTTCTATATGTCGCCAACTAACTCGTCTACATAACCATGCTTGTCATTTCAACTTTTGAGCTGACAAACCCAAAATTAACTTGGTCGTACGACCGTACGATCATACGCATCAAATATTAACTTGGCCTTGAAATGACAAACTCTCAAAACAAAGATTATCATATATGCCTCACTCATTTTCTTACATAAATCATGTTAGGTTCGATCAGATTAGTCAATTTTCAAGTTTCAACATATGCTTGCCAATCGTTTAAATTACTTGAAAATAATCAAAGCTCAAATGCTAATCAAGAGGACTTCACGGGTTGTAATGCGGGTTTAAGGTAAGGATATATATGCCAGAAAGGAAGCTCAAATAAACAACACAATTCTCGAGCAAATAAATTACTCGAGTTCTCTGCTACCAATCCGCAATAAACGATATAGCGCATTTACCATTCACCAAACAACTCCACAAACAACATTTAACTGCTCTAATCGAATTGCAACATCACTTGATCCATTTTTTGTTTTTTTTTTTAATTTTTATTTTTATATATCTCTTCTTTTTTTGTAGAGAGTAACTTTTTTTCCGAACAAAATCGAATCAAAAGGACAACATTTTGTAGGTGTGAACATTGGAGGTCATTCAAGTGTCCTACAGTAGTTTCTCACGCTCATTACCCGTCAACATGAATCGACTAGTAAGAGGACCAGAATCCATTCAATTCGTCCTATGAGCTCTCATTCTTTTTTTTTTTCGGTCAAGCAATAGATCACAACTCAAATTTCACCTCATTCAAAAACGACACCATTTTCACCAATCATCACCAAATCAGTCAACATAATACATTTCAAGTACGACTGACAAGAAAAAGGCTCAAAGCTCAAACGGGCTACTGGGAAAATAACGTTTAGGACCAAAGAACAAGGCTAAAGAGAGCTAATCGAACAAAATGCCTCAATCATATTCATAATTTCCAACTCTAATTGATTCCTTTCAAACAAACTCAAGGCAAGTTCTAATCATTCAAGAATATGACCAACATCTCCCAAGAAAAAGAATAAGGATCAAAACCTCACAAGGTAAATAAATGTCACTCAAAGCAATCAAGCATATATCAAGCAATGATAAACACGTCCGTCATCACAACTTCCCAATTTCATCAAACATTCATCAATAAATCATACAATTCACCAATACCATGCTCAACAAAATAAAAACCTAAAGCTAGATCGGTCCACCTCATAAGCATGCACAATACAATAAGACTCCCCCACACATAGAATGACGCAATGACCTCATTGCTTCAACTCAAAACAGGAAGTCAAATGCTCGGACCAAACAATTTCACATAATGAACCAAACTAGCAGCTATCACAAAACACATACTCAAAAGAAAAGACGAGAAATACAACTCAAAAAGAGAAAGAAAAAAATGGGTGTGCAAACTGAAATGCCTCGAGGAGGGTAAGCATCCACGTGCAATCCATTCGCCCCTGCTCAGCTTAATCCTCGACGCGTCCTACCAAGATAAACCACAAAAACTTCAAACTCCAATTAATAAGATAAAATAAAAAGGCATAATAAAAATATCTAGAAAAATGGTAAATCACTTCGGTTGCCTCCCAAGAAGCGCTTGTTTAACGTCATTAGCTTGACAAAACCTGTAGAGAACTCAACCGGGATCTAGGAAGAAGTGACGGTCATGCCACGCCTTCGTATTTTCGAGAAGTGGTAGCTTGGCCATAGAGGCCAGAAGGCGGGCACGGTGGATCCGAGTGGCTATGTTCTGAATGAAACAGGTTCGGTCACGAGCAATTCCCAATTCCAGAAATAGAGCTTTTTCCACGCGAGCTCTATCGTCAACCTCCGAAACAATAAGGGCATCAGTGGAGCAAGTCGAGTACCATCTTGTCCACCTGGTGACACAGTGTGATGGGTCCGAAAGTGAATTCTCCAAGTCAGTCGTGAGATGAGGGACTTGAGAACCAAGCCCATGGATCTCCTCCTTTGATATATCTTCAATGTCTCGCTGGAACTCATAATTTTCTTCTTCGGCTTCACACATTTGCTTCATCATAAAGTCTTGAGTATCAAGCATAGGGTGAGGAACGTCGACTTTCGCCTCGATTGAGTCGATGTATGTTGTAAGAATCTCTATCTGTGTGCTCAGTCGAGCACATCCAAGCTCAATCTCAACATCTCGAGTGGTTTGGCAGATATGCGAGCAAGAATGAGGTCGAGTTTTTCATCGTATGTCAAAGTAGCCTCCCGAGGTTCATTCCTCTGTGTAGATTCGCAACGAGCGTTGGGCTCAGGAGAGAAATGGTTAACACGATCCTCTGAGGCTTGCACGCACTCCACAAGTTCCTCGATTCTGGACTCAAGATTGCTCCTACGGGCTGCTTGGGATGCCAAAAGAGTGAGAACCTGATCGAGCTTGGCATTGTACTCTGAGAAGTCCTCGAGGAACTCATATGACTGCTCGACAGGCCAGGAATCCCACTGCTGATCGTAGGGATATGATAAAGTCTGGCTATAGTCCCAAGAATCATGGTAAGCAGGTGGCTGGTTCGGACGAGAACACCGGGTTGCGGTCTCTTCTTCCTGAGCTAAACAGGATGCTGCAAAAGTGTAGATACGGTCGAGCTTCTCGTTAAACTCATGGGACTCATAAGTTTTCCCGACTGTGTAGGGATCCCAGCACTGCTCGAATGAGTACGGATATGATTGGTAGTAGCACCCGGCATGGTAGCTCGGCTCGTGGACCCAAGATTGGGTGTGTGAATAGGGGAATACACGGTTGTAGCTCATACTACCTGCCCACCATAGCAGAACAACCCCACGTAGCCACGAAAAGGAAGAAAAGAATAGACAAAAGCAAAAACAAAGAAGAAAACAAAGACACGCAAAAGAAAGAACAAAAATACGAAAGACACAAAACTAAGAGAAACACGGAAAATAAAATCAATACTAAGACCAAATATCCTACATGCCTTCCTCGGAAACAGCGCCAATTGTTGTAGCACAAATTGTTAACCTCCGAGTGGCTATGTTCTGAATGAAACAGGTTCGGGCACGAGCAATTCCCAATTCCAGAAATAGAGCTTTTTTCACGCGAGCTTTATCGTCAACCTCCGAAACAACGAAAGACACAAAACTAAGAGAAACACGGAAAATAAAATCAGTACCAAGACCAAATATCCTACATGCCTTCCCCAGAAACAGCGCCAATTGTTGTAGCACAAATTGTTATTTTTACCGAGTACCGAATCAAAAGACTCGTTCCCCAGGTCGATCTCACGAGGAAGGCAGTTCGGAATTTAACTTTGATATTGATAGCACATGAAAGAAAAATAAATCCTAAACATATTAATCAAATAGGGGATAGAATGAATTATCAACTAAGGAATAGTAAAAAGCAATAAACTACCTAAAAATATAAACGAATCAATGATAAAGAAGCTAGGGAGTCGGGGACAATTAAATCAAGTTCTATTTGCACACCGAGACATTAATCATTCTATTCTAGATTGACGCTCTCACTTAAACATCTAGCGGTTCGCTCCCAATAACTCTTCGTAACAAGTGATTGAACATAGATGAACAAACTCGAGCATACGATATAGGCCAATTACCCCAATCCCAATAACTTTTCGTAACAAGGGACTAGTCATCGACAAACACGTATTTCAATTAAGAACCTATAGATTATTCAGTTATGAAATCATTTACCTCATGCGAGCCTAGGTCTAAATACAAGCTTAATCCTTAAAAAACTAAGAAGAAGAAGAAGAAGAAGAAGAAGAAGAAGAAGAAGAAGAAGAAGAAGAAGAAGAAGAAGAAGAAGAAGAA